AACTTGAGGTTTGAACACGTCCCTGGGGCCCTCAAAGCAGTATTTGAACCTGCTTGGACATTCTGGTGACCAAAACAAGACCAAAGAAATCATGGCCTTATTGCCGCTTTCCTTAAAGGAAGGTAGAGTAGATACAGGCAGGCTGGAATTTACCTGTAGCATGATTATTGTCTCGGTTGCCACAGATTGTGATTTTGAGTCCTTGCCTTCGGTGCAGGCTCATCCAGGGCAGCTGGAAGCTCAAGCAAATCTTTCCCAGGCAGCTGCAGTCTTACAGAAAGCTCCCTACAGCATAGAACTAGCTGTGAGTAGGAGTAGCTAGTAGGAGACCACTACCAAATGCTGGAGCAAACGTGAATGGGTTGGCTGCAGCTCAGGGAGGATGCTGTTGCCACACAGGTAAAGCCCATTGCAGCTGAGGGCCTCCAGTGCAGCTCTTGACACACTTGGCCACTCAAATAAGCAAAAAGAAAAAGCTCATTGTCCTACGGCATTGTGGGCCATTTGGGGAGGATGCACACAAGTATTCCCTTAGATACACCCTGAGACAGTAGGTTATATGCTTCCCTGGAAGCAAGGCAATTGTGACGTGCACCTTATCCGTACAGGGGTTTCATTCCCAGTTGTAGTCTTCTCCAAGGTAATTTGAAGCTCAGACAGCGTCTTCCTAATTACCTGGAGATGCACTGGAAACTCAATGTTGTTCATATGACTCTTTAGTAATATAGTGAGAACTTTCATCTAAGATTTGCTAATAAAGTGAGCACAGCTGTTTTATGAACCATTACTGAACAAGTGTTTTGAGAACAGAAAAGGAAAATGCTTGTTAGCAACATGGAAAAATGACTGCTACTATCTGAGGTGAGGCAGATGGGATTCAGAAGGGGGGAGAAAAGCCACATGCAAACCAACAAAAACTCTCCTCAAAACAATATAAGATAGGGGTTTCTGATCTAATAACTATTTAGTGATGTAGATATGGGTTATGGCACTATCATTTTATGCTGTAGGAGAGGAAGGATAAGATAAAATTTTCAGTGTGTTTACTGTTGGACTGTAATTTGCTAAACCACACTTCGCTGAACTAAGCACATGCAACTCTGCACATAAGCCCCAGTGAAAGGACTTCAGCAAAGGCAAAGCCTTAAGTAAATAATCACATAGTTACTGTGCTTGTTACACACTGTTTGAACTTGTGTAGCAAAGCAAACTCAGATACCAGGAAAAGAGGCAAAAATAGACTTACAAACCCTAAGATCATAGGAAAGAAAATTACTGTGAACTTTAGGTCCCATAAAAACTGAAATATATTTAAAGAACTGTAACATTGATATACATTTTCTGAAATTTCATCTCCCAGCAGAAGCTTTGAGGAGTAGCGATATTTTAAGGCAGAACAAGTTCTTCAAGTTAAGCAGCCCTCTTCCTACGCCGAATTTCCTAAATTAACTCAGTCTTTTTAGGCTACCACAAATAACTCTCTTCTTAACTGGCAACCTCCCAGACTAACTTCCAACCAGGCTATGGAAACTATATTCCCACCACTAATGTAGAAAATCTTGTAAGTTGTTTTCAGCATCACCCTTTTAAAATCTGATATGTTCAAACTGTACTTCCTTTAATGTTCCAGTTTTTCAGCACTCATATGTAAAACGCTTGAATTCCTTTCACAAAAATTGTCTCTAGAACAGTAAAAAACACCACTGTGATTTTTTTTCTTATTCCAAGACTTCGGGAAAACTCAGCAAACACAGTAGAACTCATAATGAATTTTTGATATTGCTTCAGTGCAACAACTTCCATATCAGAACATCTTTCTCTTGCAGAGTGGTTTAAAGACAGAAGACACTTTGTGTCACCTTTTGCTATGCTTTTGGCTAGCCTCCTCTCCACATTGACAAAGAGAGGGGTTCTTCTAACTGCCATTAAACTTCCTTAGTTGCAGGAAATCACGGATGTTCCAGTGATTATCAATTACTCTTACAAAGAGTACCTTGTAAGAATCATGCTGGAAATTTGTTCCTGGTCATATTATATGGCACATTTGACAGGTGAAAACCTTTTCATTTGCTTTGAAGGCTACACAGAAGGACTAGTCATGAGTGCCTAATTCAGTTAGTCACACCAATGCTAATCTTCACACACAGAAGAAGCGACCGTCTGACCACGCCAAGGCCATTAATCTCAGTCTGACCTAATGATAAGAAAAGCATCACACATTTTTAAATCATGCGAAGATTAGCATGTATGTGGGGAGCAAGGTGGAGATGAAACCTCAGATGCTAAGTGAAGCATACAATTACCCTATTTGGCAGAAAATATGGCAGATCTGGGTTGAGAAGGGGCACCTTTGCTTCATGCAACTCTCTTATGCAGTAACAAAAGGCAACAGGAACTGTGATCACGGAACGTGGCTTTACACAGTGCCTGTGACCTGACAGCAATGAAATTTCAATAGCTTGTCCCTTTGGACTAGCGTGGCTGAGCACTCCTTGCACTTTGTTTCTGGCATCTATGGGAGCTGTACCCTCATTCTGCTCCTCAAAACCACATGGAACCTGAGCTAAATACAGCATACTAAGGGCAGCTAGCTATTGGGTGGCTAATTCTAACTTCTGCAACGTGCTAAGCAGAGGCCTGGGGAAAGACTGTGGCCCCATTTGTCTTGCTTTTCCTCTCTCTGAATAGTCATTTGAATTTAAGAGAAAACTGGTATTCAGCCACCTACAAAACTGCTTTGGTTTTAGCGTTCAAGGCAAGGCAGACTCTAAAACTTGGATGACATAGAAATGTTAGCTTCTTACTGCGAAATATCATGGTTCATGTTGGAAGGATCACAATGCTCTGACAGAATTTTAGATCAGGTCCTTAATAGGAACATTGTGTATATCCAATTTAGGAGAAAATAAAACAGGCCAAGGTTGCTTAGCTTCTCACCTCAACCTGTTCTCTGTCCAATCTCTCTGCCTTCCTTTTGACTTGCAGTAACTTTCAGTCATGGTGGACATGGTTTCTGGGTTTGTAATTTCATGCAATTTCAGGGTTATACAGACTTCAGTATTAAGTATGCAGTGGCCTCTTCTGAATTGTCTTGCATCTTTTAAATAAGGAATTGCTTTTAAATAAAGGAGTGGAATCTACACTAGCCTGAAACCCATAATGCTGTAATTCTTAAAGCAGAATGTTCATATATCCTTCCCTAAATGGGGCCCTGGGTTCCCTTTGTTCTGCTACTCCATATTTTTCACCAGGAAGGCCATTTAAAGAAAAATCTTTCAAGTAGAAAAAGCTCAAGGGCCCAACCTCCTGATGAGATGGCTTTCTATGTAGGGAGTCTTTCTTAAGTGAGGAAGTGACAATAGGTCAATGAGACCTGTGTGCACAAACACCAATCAGCCGTGTCATTACTCCTTGTACATGGATTTTGAAAGATCTACATCCTCCTTAAAAAAACAAAACAAAACAAAACAAAACAAAACAAAACAAAAAACCCAGAAAAGAGCAGCCAAACTGATTCCTTGCAAATAGGAGTAACTAATGCCCTAGATTAGTTCAGGAAAATTCGAGGAACCCTATGGCAAGATGAGAGGTGAAGTAGCTTTATGTTCATTCTAAGGTAAAATGTAAGAAAACACCCAACCACCTCCTACTCAAATTAAAATACGTAAAGCATTCTTCGTGTATTTTAATTGACAACTAATGACAGAGATTCATTCGCTGGTTTTGCTCTGCCTGTTACAGATCACTTTATACTTACTGCGAACCATTTCAAACTGTGTGGTATATGCAAATTTTATGTATCAAATTAATCTTTGATGTGAATTTCCTAAATTCCATGGTATTATATCAAGAATAAAAATATAATCCATGTAGTTCTTGAATTCTTCTGGCAATTTAGAATGTGCAAAATGGCATTGTAACCATCAGTTATGTAAAATGTTTGGCCAAATTCACTTCAGATATTTTTATCACATGGATTATCAATACAAGAGGACTTGACACCAAATCCAAATTAATTATTTTCCTAGCTAACACTACCTTGTTAATGAAGTACACAGCATTTCTCTAGAGTTACTATCTAGGCAGTGCTTGTAAAATAGCATTTTATTGTGGATTCACATTTTAAGAAACAGTACCAGCTTTGCCTGAAATTAAATGGAATATTAGAGGATTTCCAGGCTGAATCCCACCAGAGCTTGGACTGACCCAGGATGGTGCGTTACAAAAGTCTTGGTAGCCTTAACACTTTACAGTGTGTGCGCGATCACCTTTTGCCAGAAAGGCATGATACAAATGGAACTGCCAGCCTTCAGCAAGGTGGCTGGCTATGAACGTCATTAATCCAGCAGATGCCCCCAATCTGGGTGCCTCGTTACCAAGTTTGTAGAGAAAAACACGAGGTGTGAGTCACTGATGTACTACATTAGCTTCGCGATGGTTTATCTACAGTGAGTCAGTGGCGATAAAGAAGCTGAGTTAATATTTACCTATTGTATTTACTAAAATCACATACCCTTTAATGGCAAATGACCCATGAAATGGGCTGTAAAGGGGCCAAGAGGAATTGTTCTTTTTGATAGTACAGCTGCAGTAGAGGGAAGGCCTCTTATGCCACAGGCCCCAATAAAGTGAAGAGTTATTAATCTCAGTGTGTCACTGAGGGGGGAATAGTTATAACTTGAGTGCCTGCGACAGCAGTGATGCAGTGGTAAGTGATCAACATATTCACAAGCTCCCCGTCACTTTGAATTTCCTTCTGAAAAGCTACCGTATATTTCTTCTGAAAACCTCAATGTTGCCACACTTTAATATAAGAAGTTCATTTGAATGCAAATATCCTTCCCCTCTCAGTAGTCCTGAAATAATTGCAGGGAATTGAAGCATCCAGGGATTTCTAAGGAGTGTAGTCAGCACTCTCTGTGGAGAAGTCAGAAGCAGCAGCTCTGGTTAGTCACTGACAGGAACTCTGCTCCCAAAGAAATGGCAAAAGAATGGCAAAAATGACAGAGCAGACAAGCAGAGGTAAGAAAATGGCTAGGTACTGAGCAAGAGGAATGGGTTTCCTATTTCCCTGAGTAGCAAGAGTTGTGGTCTTGCTTTTCACTGTGGAGGATTCCAGATGACTGGTATTACTTTCTCTGCTGAATGGAGCATAAGTGGATGGTGATTCAATTAATTGTTTTATTCTGTCTCTTCCTTGGACACAGTTTTAATGTCTGCTGTTCATGTTCTTCCTCGGCACCTAAGTGCTAAATGGGGCTTGCAGGGGGAAATCATGCCCTAGCTCATCCCTCCTGCCCACCCTGGCACGCCCTGGAATCACCCCACATGTAGAAGACAAAGGGCTGGAAGTTACAGTGAACAGCCTCCCCATGTCACTGTCATCTAAGGACTACTCCAACCTGGAGGATCTTTGGCAAGTAGCCCATGTGTGGTTCCTACTGCTTATGCACTGCCTGCTGAGAATAAAGGATTTTTTTTCTAGAGTCAGGAATCATACTCCTGGAGTCCTGTTCTCCTTTCTGCTCTCATACCAATATGAATGAAATAAGTGCCTTGATTGCCTGGATGGGAATGGGAAAGGAAGAGGACCATGATTAAAAAGAAATAGACTTTATCTCAGCAGAGTTTTGCATTTGGATTTTGACACTAGGCTTGACTTGGGAAGATTAACAAGTTTCATTCAATCTTTATCCTCAACTAAGCTCTCTTTGTCATTGTCTGTGGTGTACTGACCTATCTGCTTTTTCTCCTGGGCTTCACAACCCTTTCCCACAACTGCCGTTAACACTGTTCTGCGGCATGAAAAAGAACTCAATTTGAAAGTTACCGTGGGGATCTGCTGAATTTGGGTGTTACTATTGCACTGTATTCGATTGCAGATCATCTTCACATCTACAATATTGTATTCTCGTGACCCAGTTTATCTGCTAGATATTCTGCTGGTTTGCTTTGTAATTGTTTGGTTGGAGATCAGCAGGCAAGATGCGGGTGACTAAAAGAAGCAGCAGCAGAAACCTGTTACTTCCATTACCAGTGCCATGAGGTCTGTCAGTTCTGTATTCCAGCCAAAATGGCAAGGCTTCAAGAACAGACTTGACCTTCCAGTAATGCCCTGCCTCAAGTGCAGCTGACAATGGAATTAATGGGTCACGGACAGTGGGAAAGGGGTAACATGAACTCATGTTTCATGTCCAGCACAATGCTCTTGCCTGCTAGTGCAGGATTTTCTTGTGAACAACAGCAGCAGCAAATCTTCCTCTGGCAGACGTTTGCACTGCAGTTCTGTAAGCAACTTAGTAAGTGGCTTGTAACTGTGTAGGAGGAACAGCTGAAAAATAGCAGTTGGCCACTTTTACAACACTTAACTTCGTAAATGCTGGAAAGTTTGTTGAAGCAGTGAGCAAGACGCAGTTCTCAAGGGCCAGCTTACTGTCTGTCAACCAGATAGAAGGGCGTGAGTATTCCCTACTGAGGGCAGGGACAGACTCGACCTCAGGACTTGCAACAGGGGTGAAACCTCAGTCCAGTTTAAACTGTATTTGTGCCCACTTACTGCTGGCAATCATTCTGACATCAGTGTACTCCCAAAGGGGCACGGAGCAGTTGAAAGAGTGGGAATGTCTGCTATCTGTGTTTGATTTGTTGGGACTAGGTGAGAGGCTTCCTCTGTGCCAGAGGCAGTTCCCCCGTGGCACGGGTAAGTTGAAGAAATGCTAGGTCATCTTGTGCCAACAGAGCAAGTAAATCTCCAAAAGAGACTCTAAAATTACTGACGTCAAACATCTGTAGCAGGATAGCTAAGAACTGTCCTACAGTAGAACGTAGATCAGCTCACGACTGAGCCCACTGGATTTTTTATGAGTATGTGACAGGGTATGAAAGCACTCTGATAACACCAAGGGACTCTTGTAGCAGAATAAATTAGGAGGTGAAGGAATAAATCATGGTCTACATTTTGGTGGGACTTGGGCAGTGGTCCCTTACACTGTTTGGAGAAACCACCACCTCTGTGCACATAAAGAATAAATTAACTTCCCTTGTCTGACTGATGCAATTAAATCCCATTTGTGCAGTAGCGTTGAGAATTTTGCACTTTGTGGACTAATGTCATTCCTGGTCTGTTGAAGCAGTAAACCTCTGGCCTTTTTTGTAAGATATTTTGGATACACTTATTAAAGGATATTGCTCTCCTGCCAAAAGTTTTTGCTCTAAATAAACCATACCTTATGTCTGACCTTACAATATTTTTTGCTCTAATATTTAGAAGTTGCCATCAAGCTAGCAGATGCAACAAGCACTTTTTCTTGAGCTGGAGGACTGCGCTGGTGTCAAGCCAGAGAAAAGCTCTGAAAGAGGGCAATGCTTGCTTGTTACTAATCAGACTTTAAGAAAAACTATTGTTGCCAAAGAAAAAGCAACACCGTAGGGGTGGGGGGGTAGGGGTACCTATATTAAAGAAAGGAAATAAGAAAAGGACAGATCTCTGTCTCCACATAAAGCAAGACAGAACTGCATACTTGTCTCGTCTGAAAAACAGGAGGTTGCAGGGTGCTAAACATGAACTACTGAAAGAAAATTGAATGAAGCTCCACCTTTCAGGGACCCTGCCATCAATGTTTTGTTCTTACGCCAAATTCCTGGACTATAAAAATCTGCCTATAAGCCAAGAAAAAAACACTTCCCTGGAAGGATTTTCAAGTCACCGCTTCATGGCAAGATGGAAATAAAAAAGGGGAGGTCATTTTGGATCTTCTGCCTAATTTGGAGTTGTTGCAAAGGCAAAGAACCGGTTCAGATAGGTAAGAAAAAAATCTAATTCTCAGATTTTTTGCTCACATATTGCTCTACATATAGAGTCATCAACTGAAAATGTGTAACATATCCTTGTAAGAGCTGTAGGCAAGCCAGATACTGTTTACCATTGTACATTTTTGTCCTTAATGTCAACCATTTAAGTACTTTCCTTTTTTTCTTTCACTACTAGGTAGTTTATCAACTGTTTTATGTCTTAAGTGACTAAACTTAAGGAAGAGACTCTCTGGATGCAGTTTGCATCATAAAAAAATCATGGCAACCTTTTCAACACATTTCATATCTATTCGTATGTTACCGCAATGCCTGCTCTGCTTGATGGACCAGTATGAAATACTGCATTAGGTGTAATCACATTTTTTTGTGGTCTGCTGCACTGTTGCCTCCTGGTTTGGTTTTGAATGTCATACACTTTTCCCAGTTGCTTAATACATAAGAAATTGATGTGACAGTTACTGCTGCCTTAGTAATTATATCAACTCCACTTCCAAGAACAGCCAAACTTTCGCATTTCCCCTCATTATTGTGCAGAAATGTGCTAAACTACCCTACTCTACTCTAGTGCTGCGAATGTCTATGGCAAATTACAGTCCCTTTAAAAAGGTGTTCCTGTAAGGACTTTTTGGCACTTGAGTATGTGTTGTACATTTCTAACACCAAGAGTTGAATTTTTCAGTGTTCCCCTGCTTAGGGGGAAATATTTAATAATATTATGGAGTTCTTTGGAGTTCACTGAGTGTATTAATGACTGGTTTTGGTTTGATCTGTGATGCATGTTGCTATGTTGATTTTCCTAAATGTGCTACATAAACAACACAAAGATTTGTTATTCTTTCAGATGGACCTAGAAGATATGTTAAAAGCATTTTGTAGCAAGTACATCTTATTTAATTCAAGGTGATTCATGTTGGCTTTGTGCGGCTCAGTGGTATGAAAACTACTTTCTGAAGCGATGTCTTATATGCACTTAAAGTATGTATCAATACCTTCAACACAGGAACAACTCAGAGGTCTGAGACGCGAGTTTTGGTTGAGATGAAAAACAAGTAGCTCTTGAGCTGGCTCCTGAATGCCCCACCGGCCGAGATCAGCGCCTGCCATTTTGTTGAAGAGTCATGCCACCTGTGATGTCTCCTGGAAGGGACTCAGTTCAAGACTTTGGACCAGAGTCTTGCCTGTGTTAAGAAGCAGAATTTCAAAAGTAGAAATGAGATTTAGGCAGCCAGGATGGGATTCCCCTCACTTCACTTTAGATATCTACAGTGTAAATGTATCTACAGTGTAACTGTAGACTTTATAGACACTGCATAGAAACAAGCAGTCTTGGAATGTCTTCTTCCTAGGTAGATATGTAAGAACTGAACCTTTACTGCTTCTCACTGTTAACTTTAAAGGAGCCTAGGCACATCTGCTCATATTGGAGGTATCTCTGACATGGACTTCAAAAGTTCAGTGAGATGAAACTCCTTCCCACAAACTAGTATATTCCAGGTGTTAACATTTTTGCCTTCGAAAATCTCTCCGTTTTTAAAAAAAAAAAAAAAAAAAAAAAATGGAAAAAAGAAAAGCACGTCATATGGGGTGAATTTCTAAGCTCCCCTCCTGTGAATCTTTCTCTAGTCCAGGTCTCTACTGTCGGTAGGAGTGAATGTGCCACCTGGGGCAATTTCCACTTTCATACATTTGACCATGTCAAGTTCACTTTTCCTGGGACCTGCACCTATGTCTTCGCTTCACACTGCAATGACAGCTACCAGGACTTTAACATCCAAATCAGGCGCAGTGACAAGAATAGCTTCCTGATCTACTTCACTGTCACCATTGATGGAGTGATTTTGGAGGTGAAGGAGACAGGCATTACAGTGAACGGGAACAAGTGAGTAAAGACCACACTGTTGTTTTCTTGCGCAGCAGTTTTATTGCTATGTATTAGCAACAGATGGTCTATCTAAAGTGATCCTGTTCTGCAGATGTGCAAATGGCTCTGTATGATATGTTCATAGAGCTTTGAACAGGGTGTTGCGAAGAGTCCACCCCATAGTGGTGGAAGAGACAAGAAGCACGTAAACTACTTCTCCCAGGGATCAACACCAACGTATTAGGCAAAAGGCAACGTGTATGTTATAAAAACAGAAAATGTAGGTTTCCTTAACGTTGCTTTGATTTGGGAGGGATAGGTAGAGCTAAGGAGATAAAATCAACACTTTATTTATAGAAGGTTTTATTTTGTAGATATTTTGTATTTTTTTCTCAAAACATTATTTCTGTGGTACAAACCCTACTGTTGCATGTTGCTGTTCAGGAACAGATGGCACTTTTAGAAAAAGTTTTCAGTTTCCAGATAGATTACTCTAGAAAACTGCACTGCTTTGCAGAACATAGCTTCCCTTGGGATCTTCTTATACAAAAGACTGAAGTTTCAGAAGTCAAAATCCACACCTTCGATTCCAACCTGAAATGAACCAGAAAGCAAACTGCAAACAGAGGAGTAAAAATACTCCCTAAGTAAAATGTCATATGCAACAGTAGCTGAAAGCTGGGCACAATTTTAAAGGCAGCCCTCATGAGAAGTGCAGTGACCTGCTCCCAGCGTATAGGTATGAAGGGCCAAGGCAGCCTTTGACTCTGGGAAAAACCTTCACAGCCTTGTTGGAGAGAAAATTGCACACATATGGGCTGTCTTCTCTTGACAGCCTTCCAGAAACGACCAAATATAGAATAACATCACTCAGTTGTAACTATAGTAGCAAAATCCAAACGTGTCTTCTAAATCAAAGATGCAAGAAATCTCCTATCTTTTAGCCATTTTCCGATTTTCTAAGTTTTTCAGGCTATGGGAAAATAAACAGTAATTGTCTTGGTGAAACGAAAAAGTAATGTAGGTCTGAGTCACATCAGTACATGAGTAGCAGAATAGACCTCTTTTCACGCTTCTATGAATCCCAAAAGTGAAGGAAAGCCTGGAGAGATGATGAGAACCTGCAGTATCCTTGTACGGAGGGCCATTTTCCCAGTATTTTGATCTTGCTCCTTGTAACATTTTGGGTCAGATCCTCAGGATACGTAAACAGGCAGAGCTACATTGGTACCAGTTGAGTGGTTAATGTAGTATTGACACACTCATGACCAAAATACATTATGTTGTGGATTAAGGTGGGTAATAGGTCACTGTGGACAAGGTGATCGTACCTAAATTTAATGTATTGTGTGGATGAAGGCTGATCTTGAAAAGAAGGTCCTCAGGGCTTATTTAGCTCCTTTTGAATCTAGTTTTTCTTCCTGTATCTCTGAGAGGATTTAATAAGTCTTTTTTTCAATGCAATCTGTTTTGTTCCCTCCAATTTCCAGGATCCCCATGCCCTTCAGCTTGAAGAGCATCCTGATTGAGGACACCTGCGCTTACTTCCAAGTCACTTCCAAGCTGGGCCTGACACTCAAGTGGAACTGGGCTGATACTCTCCTAGTATGAACAGCCAGTTAGTTGTTTTTCTCTTGGTGAACCTCATCAATGACGAAAAGCAGAGCTAGACGCAGGCACAGTGTTGATATAAGAGATTGGGGCAGGGGGGATATCACTGTATCCATAAGCTGATAGGGACAGACTAAACTAGCTAATAGTTTCATGGGGAAGGGGCATGAAGTCACAACCCCCAGGCATTCCCAACTAATTTTATGTGACAAAGGTGCCACTGTTAACCCTGGAGATAGAATTTCTGAGCTACCAGCTTCCTGCTTGAGGTACTGGCAGCAACACAGCTAGTCCCTCCAGCTCTGACTTGTTATTTACCCTCTGTCTTGACGCACATCTTGTGTGGGAAACTAATCTGTGTGGCCATTTCAGACCTTGGCCTCTCTCATTCCAAAGCCTTGCTATGCAGGAGTTCCCCTCTATACATTAACCCCAAAATAGCCTCTTCTGCAACACTATATTTACACTTTTGGGTGTGAAAACTTATTCTCCACGATCAGGACTGAGATTAAAGAAATGAAAATTGTGTGTCATGTTTTGCGTTTCAGAGAGACAAAGAGAGGGTAGAAGGTGAATAGAGAGTAAAAAAGTCAGGAATCAATCAAGCTCTCTTCAAATTCTGATTTAATGAATTATGTGCTTTCCCCCTTCCCCTGTACTAATTAATACCTGAAGTACTGATAGGGTAGTACTGACGTCATTCAGGTTCACAAGGCAGTGCTTTTCCTACAAATGCCTTGTTTTGGTGAACCTGAATGACATCAGTACTGCCCTCCAAGCATGTAGGAATGATTAGATGTAATAGTCCTATGTGCTCACCTGGCTTTTTATTGCCTCTGAGCGCAGGCAGAAAAAGTTACACTGGACAGACCCACCTCTAGAAGTGCTATGAAGCTTTCCATTTAGCCTATGGATTAGAAAAAGCCTTAGATACAGCTAAAAGCTGACCAGAAGCTGCTTCTTTGCAGCATCCAGCATCAGAGCACAGTTATCTGACCTGCCCAGAGTGGAGCTGAGGTACCTTGAAAGAGGTACCACGTGTCTATATACCAGTGTATCTATACTAGAAGACATTGGTCCAAGGATTAGTCCAGTATTCAACATACTTCAGTTAGCTCTTTCGTAGGTAGCAATGACAATTGCTAGAGGATTATCTTCCTATTTAAATTCAACCTGTGTGCAGGTAAGTTTTATGACAGGTTTGTAATGGAAAAGGAGACTTCTACAAATTGGTGATGAGCAATTCTGCTGCTGAGCTTTTCCATTGTGTACCACTTTGTAACACCTGGTGCTGATGTGGGGAAAAGCCTTTAACCTCTGGGTTTCCTCTTTCCTTTTGTTTTGTAGCTGGACTTGGAAGAAACATATAAAGAGAAAATATGTGGTCTATGTGGAAACTATGATGGTAGTGAGAAGAATGATTTGATTTTGAATGGTAGGTCATGAATATAGCATATTCCACACAGAACAGAACTGTTGATACATGACACGAACTTGGTATATGTTTCTTCTAAGCAGAATTTCAGATTTCCTGAAACACATCAACATTTCCATACAGAGAAGGTGTACTTTAAGAGATTCTGGGATGATTTGGGTTCCTCTGCTGTTTGCAAGCTTGCAAGAGTCGCAAACCTCTTTGACACAAATTAATTGCCTGGCTATCATGCAGCAACATTGCCAGGTTCCCACTGATAATAGCTAACTTTAAGGAACTTGTAGTCTCAAATGAGACATGAGTGCATTATCCGTCCTTCCATTTTCAACATTTTACACTTGGGTATTAAGTGTGATTATTTTTGCCTTTAATGAAATGGAAGCATCATCACTGAGCCAGAGAGATTTCACTGAGCATCTTTGCAGAAGCCGTGGTGCCATCCACTGACACCTTCAGATATTGCACTGAACTGGAAAAAGGCCAACACAGCAAACAGCTGAGGCTACAGTCCTGCGGCAGGTTGCATGAGTGGAAAGAAACCTGCACCCTGGGGTATTACCTGCAGGACTGAAGCCAAAGTTAGAACATCATCCCTTCATGTAATACTCGGCCTTCTTAAGTCACCAGAAAAATATTGTCATCTGCCTCTCTCATTCAGAAAGAACCCTAAGATTTGATTAAAAATACCACTTGTAGTGGTAGATTTGGGGTTCATTTTCATATTTCACATTAAGCTTTTTGAGTGCACCTTAGTCATGTTTCCTCCCTTTACTTCAAAATGCAATAGGTAAAAACTAAAGCTGGCAATTGTTTTTAAGAAACAGCTTGCTACTGAAAAGTGCTGCTCTAAGAAAAACAGGCTCTTCTTTTACATATTTAGTTCCGCAGATAACAGGTTCCCACGCCCAGGGACCAGCTGGCCTCCCACATCCCTCCTTTCTGCTCTTTTGTGGAAGTACCTCTCTCAAGCTTGCACTTAGTTAAGTGACTGAGACAGTATAGGAGAATAAGCCTGGTCAGAAACCTGTCTGTTTAAACTTAAAAAAAAAAAAAAATAAAATAGAAAAAAATCAGAGAATGACAATTTCTGCATACTTTTCATAGAAATATATAAATTTCAAACTTGATCAGAAAGATTTCTCACATCCAGGGTCAAGTTTCTGGTAATGCTTTGGGAAAATGCACCCCTCTAGCTAATGAAATGGTTACAAATGTGTATTGTGTGACTGTCTTCCTTCTGCTTCCTCCTCCTTCCTCTCCCCAGCTTCTCTAGCCTGTAAAAAGTAATAGATTTCCAGATAATTATAAATATACGCACCTAAGGCTGTACTTTAAGATGTGATATATGACCATTACACATGCAAACACAAAATTCTGTAAAATTGAATACTCCCATAATGAACAGAAGTCTTTGGAAGTGATGAAGTCAAGAGTCTGTTGTGATTACAAATGCCCAGGCTGACAGCAGACCTTGATATAAGTGTGCCAGATTCCTGACTACAGCTCAGCAGAAGTTATAACAGGCTGTAATGGTCTATAATATGGATGCTGTGGATAAATTTGGGCTTTTGGAGAAAAGCATACTGCTTTAGAGTCCAAAGATTAAGTGCATCTTTATAGCCCTTTAACTGATCTAAAGAGTTGCAGGCAGTTACTCAGATGCGTCTGGGGATTTTGCAGGGTATAAAATGCATCCGAGGCAGTTTGGGAACTTCCACAAAGTAGAGGATCCATCAGAAAAGTGTGCTGACGTGAGTCCAGATGACCACACTGGAAGACATCCTAGGAGGGAAGACGATAGATGCAGTAAATATGTAAGTATGTGTGGCCACGAAGTATAAACTCTCCTGAACTACGGCCCTGGAGAGACTATGTTGAAACAAGTGTTAATTACAGAGCATACATTGAACTGAATTTTTCAGGAGTTTACCCATGAATCTGAGCAAAATGTTGATCTTACAGCTAATAGAATATCCTATTACAGTGTTAAAGATTCAAATATTGGGAAAATGCAATATTGAATGACAACTTCTAGTCCAAGAGAAAGGACCTCATGTCAGAAGGTTAGACTTAATAATCTTCTGAGGTGCCTTCCAACCTGAATTATCCTGTAATCCTGGAATTGTATCATCAAAAATTGGGATGCACATGCATAAATCTGAAAGCTGGTAAAATGTTAACTTTTGCTCTTCTTTACCTTCTTTTCTTTCTCACAGAAAAAAAGATGCAAGAAACTTATGTCCCGTTTTGGAAACTGCCCCAAAGTGGTTGCATTTGATGACTACGTAGAGACCTGCACTGAGGATATGTGCCACTGTGCCGTTAATTCTTCTCACTCTGATTTGGTTTCCAGTTGCATATGCAGCACTTTAAACCAGTACTCTCGAGACTGTGTCCTCAGGAAGGGAGACCCCGGGGACTGGAGAACCAAAGAACTTTGTTGTAAGTAACTAACTGCTCTGGAGATTTCTTTCGGAGTAAACATATACACATGTATTCCGATCCCAGCAGAGCAAAGCTAGGAGCTCTGTTAACTACTGTGAATCAATCTGTAGAAGCACTTCGACAGAAACATTGTTAATGGAAAAGCTTCTACAAATTTAACTTAATTTTGCTCCTTAAACTAGAACTATAACTGAATATTGACCCCCTCTTCCTCAGAGCTGTTTTCTACAGTTCATTTTTGATTTTTGCCATGCACAGTTAACTCATAAATAGCCTTGTTTTAAATGTTGACATCTAGTCAGAATAAGTCACTGAGAAGTCTAATGTGTTTGTCCTTAGCTTATCCTGTGTTTTCGTACTCGGTAGTCGCAGATATCGAGCAGGAAAACACTGTAAATCCAGGGGGAGGGCTACAGGTAGTTCTCCCAAACTGCTGATGTGGATTGGGATAGAAAATTAATGCCAGAATGACTGATGCTTCAGGTAAAATCAACTATTATTTTACTATCTATGAATGAATCCAGTGTCCTTTGCTTGAATCATGACTTCAGCCAACCTTGAGCTAGTACAATAATATGAAATAACTCCTATTTCCCAGCAGTACTATTTTCTCCAAAGATGAAGTGAAAGTGACCATGAAAAGTTCCTTTAGAGATTGGAAAAACATGACACATATGGATAGAAAGTTTTCCAAATAAGACACAGGGGAAAGGAGGAAGAAACCCTTGGGTAGTGATACAATGATTTGAGAGCTTTTGTAAATACATCCTTAATACAC